CTTTGTTTCATTGTTAACCTACACCTTAATACTTAATGTTTTGAGTTCACTTGTGTGTGAATTCCATCTTAGGTATGTTGTTTCACTGTGTACAGAGGTGTGTCAGCTCTTTAGTTAGATGTGTGAAGCAAGAAGTGCAGAGGAGTGTTGGTTTCTATATGAGATTTGATTTGCACTGGAAAAACTCTTCTTGTAATTCTTTTACATTGGTGCTCCAGTTTTTATCATTGACTCTGTGTTGCAGCAATAATTGGATCTTTTAGTCAGAGGACAGAAACACAAGTTGGAAGGATTTTGAATCAAACGGACAAATCCGTTACTTATTGATGAAACATTCAATAAATTTGGTAGGTGACGACTTAGACTAAACACATCACCCGCTGTCTTTTAATGCCAGATTTTTAGGCTAAGATATGAGAAATAACAAAGTTGCGTTTTTATTCAAACCCTAAAAATAATGTTAATACTGTGAAACGTCACACTCAGTTTGTGTTGTGATTGAGTCTCGGCTACTACCATATCCAATTTCAGCTCAGTATCTATTAAACTGACAGGGTTACAGCCAGTTTTGTGTTTTTTTTTTAAAGTCAGTAGCTGTGGTGGCTATTGTGAATTGGGTTTACTCCAAAAGTTAATCAGCTGTAGAGGTGCAGACAACAACAATTTTTTAAAAGTTTGATGAAATTTGGATTTACAGCATGTTTACATTTTTGTGTGTGAGTCTCTTTTAAGTCTTTAGTTGTGGACTGCTCTTTCAGATTTGGGTCATCTGATAAACTATTATCTAAGTATGGCAGAGTGATTGTGATGTGTGTGTGTGGTGCCACGTTTGTCATGATTACGTAGAGGCTCAACAGCGTCGTGGAGAGAGCGAGTGACATGACCTGAGTGTACACTGCAGCCAATCAGATAACTTGTCTCTGCATCTGCTGTGTATGTGTGTGTGTGTAAAAGTACTTACTGCAGTTATTATAATAACTAAGATTAACAACTTAAGATTAATCCCCAGATTTTTCAGTTTTATCACAAATGAGGCTCCTTATCTGTCTTTCACAAAAGCTTTAAGAAACAGTTTGTCTTTTTGTAGATTGCAGTTGTGAAACCTGAAACTGTTTTTTTAAGTTGTAATTCAAAAGAATTTTCACACAATATAGTTTTCTTGTGCTCTGAAGTTATCCGGTTTTTGCTTCCTCTAGGCTGGTGACCGAAATATTTAAATGAGCCTAAAGTAAATACTGATCAACATGATTTACTGTATCTCCTATTGCTAAATACAAAAAATAATAAATAGAACTTAAATGCTTTATGGCATGGGGTTTAGCTCAAGGCTGGTAGCATCATGTTTAGACAATGTTTCAAACAAATTTCCTGCAGTTGACTGTAATTAACCGAATATTACTGAGGCTCAAAAAGAAAAAAATTGTGTAGGTCTTCTGGACGGGTTCTTCTTTAATGAAACATTTTGTCTCCCATCCAGAAGACCTACACAATTTTTTTCTTTTTGATTTTTTACCTGGATTACTGAGATGCATCAGGACATTACTGAGGCTCAAATTATTTTTGATAATAATCAACTGAAGCAGATCTGATTTCTAAGTTGTTTAGAAATATTTTAAATATTGCTTTAATTAGTTGTCTTTTAGTGTCCAAAACATGTCCATTCAATGCATTAAATTTGCCTGTGGTCTCTATCACTATAACTTTGCTTTGACATGTTAGCCTCCTAAACTTTTCAGGTTAGTATAGATGCAACTGGACAGATTTCTCAGTGTAACCATTGTATTTGTGTTACGAGCGCATCCTATAGTACTTAGTGTTGTCACATGAATGCTCAGTTAAGTACTTTGAGGTTTATTGTTATAATGTGACAAAGTTTCAAGGGTATGAATCCTCTTTCAAGGCACTGTATATCTTTAGTTATCAGAACCTCTTGTCACACAAGGCGCCAACCTCTGATGGAGCTGTATCAGTGAGGAGAGACCTGTTTGACCCGACACCATGGCATGATCAGACGTGCTGTACATGTCAGTTCTGCAGCACATATTAAAGACACGTCGCTTGTTTTCACCAGTCTCGTTTGTGCTGTTTAATGTTGCTTCATTTTAGATGAGGAGCATTTCATAAGCAGAGTGTGTTGTTTGCCTAACTGTATGAGTCACAGTCATCTGGGACAACCTGCACCATTGCTCTAGCTCTGTAACTCACCTTTTACTCCCATCACTCAGGTAATTTCCACACCCAATTTTTTTCTGGCGTTGTTTTTTTTAATTTTATTTATTTAACCAGGTAAACTGTTTGAGAACTGCTTCTCATTTACAAACATGACTTGGCCATGACCGTTGTCCTGTATTTAGCAGGGAGAAAATAAACAAGTTAATTGGAATGTGTTTTGTTTGTTACTGTATGTTTTCAATTGCTCTATTAATTTGATATATCCCAGAGGAAAATTAATTGTATGATAATAATATTGTTCTGATGTTTATGGTTTTTCCCACATCTCAACATTTTCTGGTTGACGTGGCTTTCATAAAAATAGATAATCTGACATTTTTCCTGAACTTGGTTTGTAGGATTGTGGTTTGTCAGGTGAAAACTCGAGTATCTTTAAAAATGTCTTTTATTGCTACAGTTGGCAAATGTTTAAAATGAGTTACGGGAACTAATAAAATTTTCAGTGTACTTTCCATCAGTTTTTATTTTACTGTTAAAATCCACTTGAGATCGCTGATCTCTCTTTCAAGGGTGGCCTGGGCCTGAAGGCAAACTATTGTACATGTTTTTGGAGTGTGGGGGAAACCAGAGTACCTGGAGAAAACCCACGCAAGCACGAGGAGAACGTGCAAACTCCACACAGAAAGACCCCAGGTTCGAACGGGGGATCAAACCCAGGACCTTCTTGCTGTGAGGCATCGGTGCTAACCACTGAGATGTCGTGCCGCCACGCGTTTTGTGCTGTAGTAGTTTCAAAACAGTTTTTTTTTTGCACGATAAAAGCTTTAAAATCTAATCGGTGTGCTCCGGTTCTCTTTTTAATTTGATAAGTGAAAATTGGCATAACGCAAAGTACTTGGCCAATGGTGGACCAAAAAAAAGTGTGATAAAGTGCATCAAAACTTTAGATTTGCTCATGTTTTGACTCCTGGCTTACTGTGAAGAAGGACATTTACAGAAGGCTGTTTCTCTCTTTTCAATTCAGTAGTTGGTTTTAATCTTCCAATTCAAAAATTACAGCAGAATAACTTGCATTTTTAACATTGCTTTAGTTTTTTTTTTTATTGTGAGGCCAGTCCTCTTAATTATTGTGGGTAAAAACAATTCTATCATTTAGTTTTATTTAATCAAGTGCTGGTAAGCTTAAGTAACAATGAATAACTTGGACAGATGCACATTAAGCTAGTTGGTAGAATATTTAAAGAGCAGCTTGTCATTCGTTCTGTTCACCTTATCGATTGTTGAAGACAAGGCCAAAGTTCATTTGTGTGCTGAACTTTTTACAAATCTCTAAAAGGTAAAATCCATTCACTTTGTAAAACAAAATGCAGAGTTAGAGGAAAGGGAGTATTTGCTGTTTGTTCCCAGCTTCAGTGTTTTACTGTCAGATTTGAGCAACTTAACAAAAACATGTTGAAGGACACGTGTGGTAAGATATTCTAACACTGGCATCTTTAGACAAAATACATCATTTATTATTTTTGTATATTTTACTCAATTATAATTTTAAATAGAATAACACACTGTATTTTTTTACATGACTAGATTAATGTTGTACCAGATTATCAATGATTCTAAATTGTCCAAATGACAATTGTCCGATGAGTTCAAATTATTCAAATTAGGTTTGTCAAAAATTAAAACTTACTGATTTCTGGATCACTGAAGTCCATCTTAGATATTTTTTTATTTTCTACTTTTGTAAAAGTTGTGCATCAACCTTTTGAGGTAAAGTGTGTGTCTCACAAATGGAATATATGCTGGTATTTGGATTTGATGAATTATTTAAAACAGATTTTGTTTTTCAAGATGTCGCTCAATCACAGTACTTAATCATAATTGGTTAACACTGCACAAAAAGGATTATATATTTGTTAATCTGTCAGATTTTTTTCACATTCTTAGAAATCAAACCAGCTGAAGTTTTGATACTTTTGGCCCTTTTCTAAATGAAGATAAATGAGTTGAATCAACTAGTTAATACATAAGACAGAGAAGCTGATACTGAAGTCAACAGTTGCAGTATTTGCTATGTGGGCAATGATGTAATGAAAAATGTTCTCTGGGTGCCAAATTGCGTTCTCTCGTGCAGATTACAAAAGTGAAAGAAAATAGACGACAGTATGATGAAACGCAATGAGTCTCTACATTTTTAAAATGAGCAGTCGTGTTGAGCTAAGCATTACAACTTATCAGTGTTGATTGTAGAGAGTGATTAAGTGATTAATTAATGAGTCATTCCCAACTCTTAATTGCTACACGTTGTGCAACATCCTTCCTTACAACTTTAAAGTAAACAGCCTTGCTAGCAAAATATCTCATGTACTAATGGATGGATTTTGGTGAAGCTCTCGGAAACTTATACTTGGATGTTTATCTAAAAGTACAACTCAACTTTTACTCAGAGGACCAGCTGGTCTATACCTGATTGATCTGTTGAAATTAAAAGTGACTTTTAAGATGAAATTAAGCTCAATGTTGGGTCTTAAATGTTTGTGAAGATAATGGGCTGGATACATGCTGGCTGCAGTGGTGTCATAAATGTGTAACTACTGGCCTTGAAAAGTCACTCTTTGTATTGTTTGGCTCTTGACAGACAAGATTGTTGCTCAAACTAAGCCAAACCTAGATAGCTGACCTTCAGCAGTTTGCCTTTAAAGTCCTCCCCTTTCACTGCAGTACAGTATAAACATCCTCTCTTTTCTCTTTGCTGGTTTTGGCTAACAAAAAAAAAAAAGGAATTTGCATTTATTAATAATTATTTTTTGTTTTCTTTTTTGTTTTTATAGGTTACTTATTTGCCTTCGTCAGCAAAGCCAAAAACAAAACAAATAGAACTCTGAAGTTACAGATTTCAACGTGCCGTTTTGTGAACTGAGAAGCTGATTTTACTCCAACTCAAATCCACTCCGGCCATACCTTCAGTCAAAAACTTGGCATCAAACTGACTTTGGGAACCCCTCCTCCCACATGTTACTGTTGCCCTGGTGACTTCTCCGAGGGACCATCTTTAGCAGCCCTTCAGAAGAACCCTGTGGGGGCTCCACTGACGGAAAAATATGCTAAACGCTGAATATATCTTCTGAACAACGGCTCAGCTTTGAGTTTAGAAGATGAACAATGAGGACGTGTTTTACGACGCCGTCACAGGTGAGGATCTGTTATCCTTTTTTTACATTCTTACGCGTTGAAGGTGCAGATTTTTGATTTTTAAATTTAAATTTTTTTTACAGTTCAGTTTCTGAGCTCTAGGAATTTATTATTTGCCTATCTGCATATACAAACATTTATTGAAACAACGTTATGTATCTAAACATCTCACAGATGATCATTCAAACTTCAGCTTCTTTGTGTCAGCATTTTATCACTTGACATGTCTGGCAGGCATTTACCGTTGTGATGAAGAGGGGAAAAAAACAGATTAATATAAACCGCAATTTGTTTTTGAAGGCATATAACCTTGAGCCAGAAATTCTAGTTGCCTCTTATTAAAATGTAACACAGTCCAACAGAATCTAATTAGTCTCAGTTGGCTGATCAGTTCAATAATTCAGTGGTTGGCTGCAGTCATGATCAGTAAAATCAACTGGAACGTATTTATATTTCATACTTTTGTTATATTGTGTTTTGAAAGAAATGGCAAAAAATAAAAATGAAATAAAAAAGTGAATAAAACGAACTTTAGTTTCAGAGAGAATTATGTTTCCTAGATCAAGTGCTTAGCTGTAATATAAATGTATGTATGTATATATGTATGTATTGTGTGTGTATATATAATATAATATAATGTAATATAATGTAATATTCAAATAGAAAAAAAATGCAATTGTCTGTTCTTACCAGGCGTTTACAACTAAGGAAATGCCTGGGATGCTCTGAAGATTAGCTCTCAAAACAGTGCTTTACCTCATTACTTGGTATTAAAGAGAGGCTTTCATGTATGTCGTTTCACCTGTCATGTTTAATTATATTGGTCATCTTACCTTGATTGATGCATCAGTTATCAGTGTTTGTACATGTGGTCATTGCAGTCAACATGAAATGCCATCCGAGGAATCCTCTTTCACTTTGACTCATTTTTCTGTCCTTGCCGCTTTCATTTTTATTTCTTTGTTTAAAGCATTTCTTTTTTCTTTTAAATAAAATGTGTTATAATTTCTTCTCTTCCTCAACTGTCAAATCAGTCAAAAAGAGGTGCAGAGAACACGTCGACAGGAAACTCAAGCAGCTTAAGCCTTGATGACATGTAAAGAAAACACACCTTCAACCTGGTGATAGATGACCAAAGACAAAACTCGTTGGTCTATTTTAAGCCAGTGTTCAGGCCCCTGCCTTGTTTTTCTCACCCCACCCTGCAGCGTGATATACGGTGAATATTTGGTCAGCTACATTCAATAAGTCCAGTAAATACTGGTTTGCAAGAAATAATAGAAAGCCTGACCCAAAAATAAACATTCAAATGTGAAAATTACAGAATACATTTAGACTGTAAGAAAATCTGTTGTACTTTTAAATGGCTGCATCAGGGCAGCTTATTGGCATTGTATTAGTTAATTTTCTTGCATATTTTATATCCTCAACTTTGAATCATGACAACAGATTAGGAAGTTATTCTGTTCCCTCTGCTGTTTAAGAGAAAAGTTTAGTTAGTGTAAACTGTTCTCAGACAATTTAAGACATTTGCTATTCAAATTGAAGCAAAAAAAACGTTCCTGAGCTGATGCAAAGCAGTCTGTTTCATGAAGTGGATATCTGCAAGGGTCTGTTGTAGCAGATAAAAGGGTTAATATTCAATCCAACATTTTCTGTATGCAAAACCTTTGTTCATTTCTTGGAATTCTTTCATCTGACTTAAGTGTTTATTTTTATCTTTGCACAGAGCATTGCCTATGTGGCATAGCTAGCTAATTTTATGTTATTTATGTTATATATATATTTTTATATTTCCACAGGCCTGGACTCAGATGAGTCATATGAAAGGGTGTCAGAGGCCAGTTACAAAGACGCAAAGGGATTTGATTGTAGCAGTCAGACGAACAATGGATCAGTACCACAAGAAAACGGCATCAAGAAACACAGGTACAGCTGCATTCCTGCACCACATTCCGTCGGCTGTATGTGTCTGGATTATGTTGAAGCAAAAAACAATTCAAGTTTGTCTTTGAAGCTGGGTCAGTGTTTCAATCTAAGTAAATTAATTTAAATTTTTTCAAATTTATATTATTCATAATTTGTTTTACCTGTTGATAACTAATTATGATCAATAAAGTGTCCGTCATTCTAGATGTTGTGGAAAGAAACTAGAGGAAAAACAAGCAAAATTGTTTTATTGCCCTGTTCTGGGCCTGGCATAGTTGACTCATACATGGGAACATTTTGCTAATGCTGTTAGTTTGACTTTTGTTTTTTTACAGTGACATCATAGAATGTGGGAAATTCCCATTTTAGGAAAGAGAGGAGCAGTTTTCATTTATGTGAACATATCAGAGCATCATAAAAGTTTTTGTTTGTTTTTGTCATGTCATATTTACCTGTAACATTCTTTTCTAATAAACTAAAAGGATATGCTTCTCCACCCTCTTTGTTTTCAGGACATCGTTACCAGCGCCCATGTTTTCCAGAAGCTCTATGAATATCTGGGGTATCCTTAAAAAATGCATTGGATTGGTAAGGGCCTCTTGGTTTTAAAACACAACTTTACTGCTTGAACTTAAGTTGGGACTAGGATACCTTTCCCTACCTCTGTGTGGCTTGTGTGACTAATGAGGTGGCTTCGAAGGTTTGAAGTCAGACCACTGTTATACAAATAAAAAACATCAAATTTGAGTTTGTAATTAAAAAAAATAATTTGTTTTTGTTTTTTGTTTTGTTTACAGGAACTGTCCAAAATCACAATGCCTATCATTTTCAATGAACCATTAAGTTTCCTGCAGAGGATCTCAGAATACATGGAACACACTTACCTCATCAACAGAGCCTGCTCGCTGTCTGACTCCATACAGCGCATGCAGGTCAGACTCGCACATGAATGCTCACTTTTAAGGATCAAATTTACAGATCTTGTAGAGGTACAAGCAGCACAGGTAATATTCAGAAGTTATGTGTTGAAGAGGAAGGGAGTTATCATTTAAGGGGTCAGTTTTACTTTAAATCAAGGATTGTTCATACAACTCGCAAAGGTTTTTGTATTTCTCTTGGTGGAGTAAAACTGGAACGTTCTGAATGTGGAACATAAGGAATGTCCAAACATAAAAAATTTTTAAATTTATTTTCAAAAGATATAGGGATGCTGAATGTATCTGATTATTATTTTTTCTTTATTTTTCTTTATTTTTCTTTATTTTTCTTTTTGCAATATATGGAAATGTTTGGGGCTGTGTATATATGTGCGTACATGTGTGCATGTTTACATTAATGTGTGTATGGATATACACTGCATGTAAGTGTGTATATATACGTTTATAACTATATTCTGGTATTGTATAATTTAGTAGGTAAACAGATTGGTGTTTTAATCTTTATCAAATTGTGACTAAGGAAAAAAGAAGAATTAATTTTATTTTATTATAATTTTTTTCAATAAGCTTTGGAGAAGGGTGGGATTAAATGAGTTTTTTTACTTGTTCCTTTTCAAATATGTTAATTTTGTTATCACTTTTTTTGTTTTGTTTTCTATACATTTTTTTAACTAACTAACTAACTAACTAACTAACTAACTAACTAACTAACTAACTAACTAACTAACTAACTAACTAACTAACT